CCTCAACAATATTTATGGAACAGTTTCAAGGCAAGTATCAGTTTTCCCAATGGCTTTGAAACACTGGGTAAAAAATTATTATTAATTAATATTATTATTTCAGACAGAGTCTTGTTGTGTCACCCAGTGGCACAATCTCAGCTCACTGCAACCTCCACCTCCCAGGTTCAAGTGATTCTCCTGCCTCAGACTCCTGAGTACCTGGGACTACAGATGCCTGCCATCACATCCGACTATGTTTTATATTTTTAGTAAAGACAGGGTTTCATCATGTTGGCCAGTCTGGTCATGAACTCCTGACCTCAGGTGATCCACCCACCTCAGCCTCTCAAAAAGTGCTGGGATTACAGGTGTGAGCCACCGCATCCAGACAAAAATTACTTTCAAGGAGGACTATGACACTTATACTCTTTCCGTCTTCCTATACATATACGCATTTTAGGACCCAAGGAAATAAATTCCTATGTATACAATGTTTTCATAATCATAAACAGTAAACAGTTAATTCAGAAATAATACAGAATTTCCACAATTTGTGTCTGTGGCTTCATTATCTATTTTAGGTGACAAATTTCTAGATAATCTAATAAGTGTTTTGACCACTGAGGTTCAAAACCAGCAGAAGCCTACTGATATTTGAACATTTCATGTTTATCTTAATACTATTCTTTAAGTAATATGTAAGACCTCCTCCTCCTCCTTCTTCCTCCTCCTCCTTCCTCCTCCTTTTCCTCTTCCTTCTTAATTTTTCCTCTTCCTCCTTCCTCTCTCCTCCTTCTCCTCTTCCTTCTCTTTCTTCTTTAATTTTTCCTCCTTCCTCCTCCCTCCTCCTTCTCCTCCTCCTCCTCCTTCTTCTTCGTTTGAACTCTGTTACCCAGGCCAGAGTGTGCAGTGGTATAACCATAGCTCACGGTAATCTCCAACCCACAGTCTCGAGCAATCCTCTCATCTCAGCTTCAAGTAGCTGGGACTACAGGCACACCACCATGCCTTGCTAATTTTATTTATTTTGTTTTTTTGTAAAGATGGAGTCTCACTATGTTGCCCAGGCTGGTCTTGAATTCTTGGCTCCCAGCACTCCTCCTGCTTCAGCCCCCCAAAGCACTGGGAATTCAGGTGTGAGCCATTGTGCCCAGTCTCTTTTTTTATTTTTAGAGATGAGGTTTCACTATGACCAGGCTGGTCTTGAACTCCTGGGGTCAAGTGATCCTCCTGCCTCAGTCTCCCAAGTTGCTGGGACCACAGGCATGCACCACTACTCAGGGCAACAAATATTCTTATTAAAACCTTACTAGGTGTCAGGAATTGGCCTATGTCTTTGCACAGATTATTTTGTTTAACTGTCAAAGGAAACCTAGAAAGTAGATGTTTTTATTATCTCAAATTTTCAGATGAATAAACTGAAGCCCAGAGAAAATTTGAATTGTTCCCGTGTCATGTGACTAACGAAGGACATAAAAGGACTAGAAGGCAGCCATCTTGTCCCAGAGGTCCATCTCATCTTCTACACTATCCTGACTCACAGGATATAAAGAGATGGGGATTTCTCCACATCTACTTCCAATGCGCCATATACAAAAGCAGAAAGGGTTTCTGAGCAGCAAACCACCATAGGACACATATATACCTATGTAACAGACCTGCATGTTCTGCACATGTATCCCAGAACTTAAAATATAAGAAGGGGAGGGGAGGGGGAGGGAAAAAGGAAAAGGAAAAGGAAAAGGAAAGGAGAGGTACTTGGCCCCAAAACAGAGTACACACCCACTTCAGACTTTGGGTACCAGAAACCCAAAGGCCAAAGGGGAAACAGGGCAACTGAAGTGAGTATGATTAAGTTAACCTCTTTACTGATGATTTTGGCCAAATGAGTTTTAGTGCAATCAATGATCATGGATCTGGACAATTAGATTCAAATAGAGGAGAAGTGAAAATACATCAGGTCATTATATGATTTTTGGCTGACAATGGAATGTGGTGATATATAATTCCGGAAGCATATTTTGCCTCAAAAGGTAGTTGGAATGATGCCGTGATATTCTTTTGTCCCGATGACACTTTCAGGGCTGGGGTTCCATGACCCAGTTTTGAGGAGGCTGACTAAGGCACACCCATGAAGAAAGGCCAAGTTGTGTCAGTTAGAGGAGTTTAAAGCCTCAGAGAGTTCCAGATCCACTATGGAGGGGAAAGCCCTCCAGAACCTAACCCCCCACTGAATACAGCCCAAGCCTGTGGACAGCGTGCAAAAGGCAACAACTTGGGGACTGTGAAAGGCAAACGAAAGCAGGCAGAGTCAAATCTCGAGAGGTGGTCTCCAAGATAATGAGGTTTCCCATTTTATTTTTCCCTCTTGCTACAGTTTTGATGTTTTTCTCCCCAAATTGCATGTCGAAATTTGATCCCAGTGTCGGAGATGGGGCCCAAGGAGAGGTGTTTGGATCATAAGAGCAGATCCCTCTTGAACAGATTAATGCCTTCCCTAGGGTGAGGCAGTGAGTGAGTTTTCACTCTATTCATCCCTCAAGAAAGCTGGTTGTTAAAAAGAGCCTGACACTCCACCGCTCCTGCTTCCTCTCTCTCCAGGTGTTCTCTGCACACACAGGCTTCCCTTCATCTTCCACCACAAGTGAAAGCAGCCTGAGGCACTCGCCAGATGCCCAAACTTCCAGCCATTAGAACCGTGAGCCAAACAAACCATTTTTCTTTGTGAATTACCCAATCTCAGGTATTCCTTTACAGCAACACACAACAGACTAACACGTCTTTTTTTTTTTTTTTTTTTTGGAGAGAGTCTTGCTCTGTTGCCCAGGCTGGACTGCAGTGGTGCAATTTCAGCTCACTGTAAACTCCATCTCCCGGGTTCAAGCCATTCTTGTGCCTCAGCTTCTGAAGTAGCTGGAAATACAAGTGCCTGCCACCACACCTGACTAATTTTTGTATTATTAGTGGAGACAGGGTCTTGCCATCTTGGGCGGGCTGGTCTGGAACTCCTGACCTCAAGTGATCCTCCTGGCTTAGCCTCCCAACGTGCTGGGATTATAGGCATAAGCCACTGCACTGGCCTCACTGCCCTTTTATTACAACATGCCTCTCCCCTTGGCTGAGAAGAAGAGGCAACAAGGACAGATGAGATGCTGCTGGGACCTGTGCTGGTGAAGGAAGAGGCACAGAAGGGACAGTGGGGTGGGAGAGGAGCAGGAGGTCTGAAGCAGGCCCAATGAGCTGGGAAATGCAAGTACTCTCATGAGCACAACTCTACAAGGATGAGAAGCAAGGCATTGTAAGCACCATAGTAATAAATTCTTCCTCCTCCTCCTTGAGGAGGCTCAGTATAAATGGATTAGGAAATGTGGACATTATTAGTAAAGGAAATTTTGAATTTCTTTTGAAGCATGTATGTGTTTCAGAATAATGCAAACAATGTTGATATGTAATGATGCTAGTTTTCACTTCTGGGACCTATAGATGTAAGAAACTGCATCATTTCCCATGAGTCACCCACCATCTCTGAATGAACAGCATAGCTTGTAACCTTTCAAAGGATTCCGTCTTACGAAAATCGGGTAATTCTCAGCTTCTCCATTGATTCTCATCTCTATAAGTATCATCATCAGTTTATAAAAGAACAATTAACAAGAGTGATATCGTTTGGCCCTGTGTCCCCACCCAAATCTCATGTTGAATTGTAATTTTCAATGCTGGGGGAGGGACCTGGTGGGAGGTGGCTGGACCGTGGAGGTGGATTTCCCCCATTCTGTTCTCATGATAATGAGCTCTCAGGAGATCTGATGGTTCAAAAGTGTGTGGTACTCCTCCAATCACTCTCTGTCTCCCCTGTCACCATGTGAAGCCCACAGCTGTTTCCCCTTCACCTTCTGGCATGACTGTTAAGTTTCTTAAGGGCTCCCAGTCATGCTTCCTGTACAGCCAATGGAACTGTGAGTCAATTAAACCTCTTTTCTATATAAATTATCCAGTTTCAGGTAATTATAGCAGTGTGAGAATGTACTAATTCAAAGAGGCATCATGCTCTTTTACTCAAAAACTTTTCTAAAATCATTGGCTTTGATCCTGGAAGTTTAAATTTCTCTCACTAGATTTTTTAAAGAAATGCATTGAGGATGAAGTGAGTATACATGGAGCTTGTGACTGTTCACATTTGTGAAGGGCATACAAGATGCTAGGATGCTAATCTGAGTCAAACCAAACAGTATTTTTGAAAATACCTACATTCATTTATTAACTACTTTTTTTTTTTTTTTTTTTTTTTTTGAGATAGAATCTCACTCTGTCACCCAGGCTGGAGTACAGTGGTGCAATCTTGGCCCACTGCAACCTCCCAGGTTCAAATGATTCTCCTGCCTCAGCCTCCTGAATAGCTGGGAATACAGGCCTATGCCACCGCACCCAGGTAATTTTTGTATTTTTGTAGAGATGGGATTTCACCATGTTGGCCAGGCTGGTCTCAAACTCCTGACCTCAAGTGATCCTCCTGCTTCGGCCTCCCAAAGTGCTTGGATGACAACTGAGAGCCACTGCACCGAGCCAATTATCAACTTTAAAGTGACTGTGCTGGCTCTCTAGGCTGAAAGATTCTAGAACTCTGCTGTAATACTTTATTTCACTGAAGATATGAATGCTATCTGAAGTTCACATCATGCTGCTGCCTCAAAATGCTTTGAAACAAACTTGCAGTGTGTTCAAAGTTACTCATTTCCATTATTTAATTGCCCTGATGTATGATTCATGTCTTACAACGGTGTTTGCTATCCCCACTTTACAAAGGTTCCAGTAAAATAACAGTACCATTCTTCAGAGATGTCTTAAAAGTCTCTGCAAGTCAATTAAGTACATAAACTAAGGGTTTTGTTTCAGAGACCAGATAAAAGGTGTTCAAGAGGAGGAGATTTTTAGCTTGAAAACGTCAAGTATGATTTACTTTGAAGTTAAATTCTTACTACCTGACTTATTTCCTCAGAATTATACACAGAAACACTTACCAACCAAGACAACGAGTCTGTATTTCTCATTCGTTTGTCGCCGATACGGTGTCACTTCTTCGTACGTGGGTACATCAGCTGTGTCATACTGATCACTCTTCTTGCATTCATACATGGATTTATTTGTTTTCTTATCTTTTCTACTAAGACGAAAACTTCTTCTAAAACCAGCTGCAAATATTAAAATAAATATATTTTTAGTAAGATGAACCAAAAAAGAAACTCTCAATAAACAAAAATAAAAAACCCTCAGAGTTGAGTTGGATTTTATTTACCATAATATTGTTTTTTTTTAATGTTAAAACCCAAATGTTTCAGAGACAGGGTCTCACTCTGTTGCCCAACCTGGAGAGCAGTGGCACCATCAGAGCTCACTGCAGTATTGAACTCCTGGGCTCAAGCAATCCTCCCGCCTCAGCCTCCCAGGCAGCTGGGACTACAGGCACACACCACCATGCCTGGCTAATTTTTAAAATATTTTGTAGAGACAGGGTCTTGCTATGTTTCCCAGGCTGGTCTTGAACTTCTGGCCTCAAGCAATCCCCCCACTTTAGCTTCCCAAAGTGTTGGGATTACAGGCATGAGCCACTGTGCCCAAACTATTGATCATAATATTGTTATAAGTGCATTCAGTAAGAAAAAATTAATAGTATACAATTTTATTAAAACAATAACTTAGAATTAACTAATATTTATGTAGTTATAATGTAAATTTTATTTGATTTAAACAATAGCTCTGTTGAAAAAAATTAATGAGTAAAGTAACTGTATAACAAAGCAAAATAAGCCAGAAATCATAATTTATCATAAACTGATTGGTAAACACATTTGATATGAAAAAGTTAAAAACACTGTAAAAGCATTTAAAATGTAAGCAACAAGTTTTCTCATTCATAAACATTAACAAACTTTATACTACATTCTAAGCATAATCTAACAATGTACCCATGGCACAGGTGGCATCTATTGTTAAATAAAAAGAAAACTAAATTAGGGAGCGTATAGTACTGACTATGCATCAGTCAGGCTGACAGAACCAGGCTCACTTGGTCAACAATTAGTTGGTCTTCAGCAAGTCATTTAACTTTAACTGGACTCCAGCAGATGGAATAAATGATCAAGTCTCTGGTTCTCTCCTCTAATGGAGATGCTATGCTTTCACAATGTGACATACATAAAATTAAGAAATAGGGTCAGACACGGTGGCTCATGCCTGTAATCCCAGCACTTTGGGAGGCCAAGAAGACAGATTGCTCGAGCCCAGGAGCTCAAGACTAGCTGAGGCAATATGGAGAAACCCCATCTCTACTAAAAATGCAAAAAAACTTAGCTAAGCATGGTGGTGCACATCTATAATCCCAGCTACTCAGGAGGCTGAGGCAGGAGAATTACTTGAACTTGGAAGACAGAGGTTGCAGTGAGCTGAGATCGCAGATTGCACCACTGCACACCAGCCTAGGTGACAAAGTAAGACTCTATCTCAAAAAAAATTTTTTTTAATTTTTAAAAACCCCAAAACCCTTATATATATTTTATATCAGCTACATAGTTCAAAATAAAATGCAAGTACATTTTGAAGGTATAAAAATACATTCTCCTCAAAAAGAATATTCATCCACTTCAATAAGTAAAATTTTTTATAAACAAATATTTTGTAACAAAATGGAAAAAATGTAATAACTCATCTGTGTGGATTTTAGGGAATATAGTCAGCTGTCTGAATCTGTGGGCTCCGTCCATGTGGATTTAACCAATTATGGAATGAAATTTTTTTCACTGTATCTGTATTGAACATGTATTGAGTGTTACTGCATCTGTACCGAGACTTTTTTTCTCGTCATTATTCCCTAAACAATAGAGTATAACAACAATTTACATAGCATTTACATTGTATTATGAGTAATCTAGAGATGATTTAAAGTATACAGGAGGATGTGCATAGGTTACATGCAAATACTACATATCAGGGGCTTGAGCATCTGCAGATTTTGGTAACCAAGGGGGTCTTGGAACCAATCTCCCATGGACACCATGGGATGACTACATAAAAGAAATGAATAATTGTTACCATTGGGTTTAAGAAATTAACAGGATTCAAAATAAAGAAAATATCAAACAATTACCAATGGCTAAGAATGGCTTTATCCGACTCACCTTATGGATTCAGAGTTTAATAAAAATTCATCAAGATATTAAGGACAGAATGACTAAAGTTCATCTGATAACATGCTTCTGTGGCCCTCTAAGAGTCACTCTTACTTTGAGAAGATATTTGGGTTGAGACAAAGGGTTATTTATAAAGGATCTGAAACAGTTGCTCTAAAGCTCCTTTACAGAAGTAAAGAGGAGAAGAGAACAGGACAAGTCATAAACACATGGGTGTCCCATAAGACAGAGATGACATCCGAGGGAAGCTGGGAAGCCAGAAGGTAAATGCGTCCCTCTGGCCCTAGGATGAGAAAAAGAGGTGGAATTCCAACATCATACGTGCAGAGAGGATTCAAACTTCTATGTAAAGTGTCAGAGAAAAAATTGTCTATTATTCTTTGTTCATCTTGTTTTCTAGGTTATAGGGAAAGCTTCGTAGAACCCAGAAAAGGGGATTCTTTTTCTTTTTTTTTTTTGAGACAGGGTTTGGCTCTGTTGCCCAGGCTGGAGTGCAGTGGCGTGATCTTGGTTCTCTGCAACCTCTGCCTCCCGGGCTCAAGCCATCTTCCCACCTCAGCCTCCTGAGTAGCTGGGACCACAGGCATGCACCACCACGCCTGGCTAAATTTTTTTGTGGTAGAGATAAGGTTTCACCATGTTACCCATGCTGGTCTTGAACCACTGAGCAAAAGTGATCCACCCACCTGAGCCTCCCAAAGTGCTGGGATTGTAGGCATGAGCCACCAAAGCCAGCCACCTCCCTGTCACAGCTATCACACACCACACCAGAAGTAGCCAAGGTCCTCACAACTACCCCTCGTGCTTTGGCACAGTGGTTTTCAGACAAGGGTCTCTTCCTAATTGCAGAATTTAGTTATCTCAAACCACCCCCAGCACCTACTCTGTCACTGGTGCATGTTGGCCCAGACTGGAGCCCAGTATAGCAGGGCTTCTGGTATAGCACAAAGACGATACATGAGCTATTCTAACAACAAGTTAGAATGCGGGTATTTCACAGCATTCTGATTTCATGTTCCCACAGCTCTTGCCTCATCAGAGGCAATTACAGGATAAGCAGGTAGAACTATAAATTCCTTTACAATTATTCCTTCTATGGAGGGAGGCTTGCTGTCAAGTCACTACAAACTTTTGGCACAGGAATGGATATAACAAGGACATAAATGTTTCATCCATGAGAAATAACATCTAAAAGTAAAAACCTGACAAATTTCTGATGAGCAAATCTCAGCTAAATCTTGAATTTCAATGTGCTTACCAAATTTAGTCTTTACAATTCACTCAAGTTTTTAATTTCTTTTTTTTTTTTTTTTTTTCTGAGACAGGGTTTCACTTCTGTAGCTCAGGCTGGAGTGCAGTGGTGCCATCTTGGCTCACTGCAACCTCTGCCTCCTGGGTTCAAGCGATTTTCATGCCTCAGCCTCCTGAGGGACTATAGGCATCTGCCATCATGCCTGGCTAATTTTTGTATTTTTAGTAGAGACAGGGTTTCTCCATGTTGGCCAGGCTGGTCTCGAACTCCTGACCTCAGCAGACCCACCCACCTTGGCCTCCCAAAGTTTTGGGATTATAGACGTGAGCCACTGCACCCAGCCAAGTTTTTACTTTCATCCTAAACAATGAAGAGTTAGTGAGAAAAAGAGAGAAGGTAATCAGATCTCCTAAAGTGATGTTGCACGAGCGTCAAAGATGGATACCGTGTCACATAGATGGTTTGGTGATGTCAGTTGCACAAGGCTTGCTACAGAACAAGTGCTTGATAAATGTTTACTGAATGGAAGTAATTTTAAAAGGTAGCAAAAAACCTCTATTACCATTCCTGTTTCATCTACTTCATGTAAATTTCAACAACGAAAGCATGACACATTTGGCATTTTCTAAGAGTTAAAATTCTAAGAGGTGTCAAAGGCTACTGCTCCACAAACAAGCCTTAGAGCTGGAAGAAGCTCTGGAGGTCATCTAAGCCTGCTCCCCATGGGGCACAGATGGCGCCACCATACACTGCACTTGTTCACATCGCAACACCAATCAATTCACACAGATTATGAAGCTTTAGTGCCTTGAATGATATTTTACAGTGCAAAGGAGCAAAGGCACTCAGGTCACCACAGAGGTTCCATGGGAGCAGCCGGTCACTGAATCGCAATCTGGACCAGTACCGAGGCTCTGTTGACTTACTTCTCAAAGCTCATTTCCTCTACTTTACAATACAGATTATAGTAGTATCTACCTCAAAAGGTGGTTAAGGATTGAATAATTCATGTAAAGCTTTCAGCCCATCTCTGGCATATGGTAAGTACTTTATATGTTAGCTACAGATTCATGCTACAATGCCTCCAACTACTTAAAAGAATCTTAAAGGCAGGAACATGTATCCCCTGTAGTCCCACAGCACAGAGTCTAACACAAATTTAAAAAGCAGGACGAGGAGGCAGAGCTAAGAGGCTCATTAATAAGTTTTAAATTGACTAATGTATAAAACAAACAAAATGTTAAAATTAAAGCCAGATTTAAATATGTTAAATATTGTAGATGCCCTAAAGTACCTTATTAAATATTAAGACATTTTAAATACAACAGAAATAGCCAGGCGTAGTGGCGCATCCCTGTAATCTCAGCTACTTGGGAGGCTGAGTCACGAGAATCACTTGAATCCAGGAGGTGGAGGTTGCAATGAGCCAAGATGCCGCCACTGCACTCCAGCCTGGGCAACAGAGCAAGACCTTGTCTCTAAATAAATAAATAAATGCACACAACGGAAAGGATTAGTATGTATTAACTATTTTTTCATTTGTCTTCACAGATTCTCTTTCTAGGAATATAGCTATTTATTACCATATTTATATCTAAAGAGAGTATACTTTCCTTTGGTTTTTTTACTTACTCCCCTCATTCACAAATACATATAAATGCTCTGTGTTTACATACACACACATCTGAGATAAATACATACATACGCATATATACTGACACATATATACATGTACATACATATATATGTTTAC